ACCTCTATGGCTCAACGCGCTACACATGATGGCTTGTATCAAGCCAGGAGGTCTTGTCATGCCTGGAAAGTCAGAGGGTAGAGGTCAGGCGAAGATCAGTCTCGTGGTCCTCCAAGTTGAGGGTTCGACTCGAGTTAGTGTCTCAGTCGGTCAAATAGTGGAGGAGTAATCGACCCAAGTAAAAAAGCCTTTACCTCAGTTTACCCGCTGCCTTGCGGTCGGGTTCTTGTTAGAACTAAGGCTTTGAACGAGGACCCTAATCGTTCTCTTGCTTAGTGGCTGGACACCCTTGCGGTACTCGTCCAGTAAACTTTAATGCATACACAAAAATAATGCCATAGTGCATCGGTCATCGCGCAGGATATATATATATATATATTCCACGGGCTTGAGAACAAGTATGGCGCCAATGCAACACAATGATAATGAAGTTATGGAGGGGTACAGAAAGATAAAATCAAATGGGGGCAAACAAAGAACATAAAGAACGAATGAATAAATTATTTTTTGATAGTTTCACGGTACACTTTGGAGATTTTTTCGTGTTACGAAGAACGCGGTTTCGCCGAACAAACAGCACACCGATCGCGCCACTGACACTTATTCTGAGCCATATCTCCCAGCATCTCTAGCCATCGGCAATCCTCATCCCTTGGGCCCCAACCTGGAAGACAAGCTGCACCAACCGAAGCCAATGCTGAGGCTAACGTCTTCATACCTCTACCCCATGTCATGATCTGACCACTTCGACGCTTCTTCCAACCTTGCCCAGCTCGTGCAAAGAGAGCACGGCGAGGTAGTCGATGGGCAGGCATACGCAAAATATGACCGAGCCATCGGAGGCGGTGTAGACCGATTACTTCTGTTAGAGGACGACTATCAGTACCCAGTACACGACGACGGATTTCGTCATTACTCGCCCGATGTTCCCACCAGACACGAGCAATATTTCGCAGACATTGGTGGTCAAATACAGAAAGTCAGTTAGCGTCCTCCGCTCGGAGGCCAGTTCTCGCAACCGTAAGCAGAACACTAAGGACCGCGGCGATGTACATCCTTCCCCTAAGGGGCAGTCGGATGTCACAGTGGCGCCACAGGTGTCGTAGATTGGCGAAAGCTGCTCTAGCTTTCGCTATTCGTGATGTGATCTCGTCCCCAACCCCACCTCCAGCTGTGGTTAAGCTCCCGAGGTGCTTAAAGCTCTCGACCATTTCCATCTGATCGCCAGAAATAGTAAATGCAGACAGGCTGCTCCTCCTCGTACAGCGAAATACAGACAGACGAACTTCACTGATCGTTGCCGAACTCGCAATGCATATAAGATAAGTGGTAAAATTTAAGGTGGACAGGGATTGAACCTACTTCGAGGGAGGGAGAAGCTTAACCACTATGATCAACACAGAGTGCACAATCGAACTCTGCATGCATACCGTTTCAAGCATTCTGCCTGATAATAAATGACAAGAACATCACTGCTGTCGGTTCGCTGTCATATCCTTTAATGTCTCCAACCAACCAGTAGTGGAGTCTTTCGGACCCCAACCTGGAAGGCGAGAGACACCCACTCTACCAAATGGCTCTGTACAATTCTTCATGCCGCGTTTCCATGTCATCTGTTGACCACCACGTGGTATCCTCCAGCCCGGATTAGCTACAGCGAATAAAGCGCGTTGCAGCAGACGATGGCTGGACATAAGCAAAACGTGCCCTAGCCACCGAAGNCTGATAGACTCTCAAGCACACGGCGGCTTATCTCCACATTACTAACCCGTTCGCTCTATCCCATGTGAGCTGAGATGCGTAAACACCGACAGTGGAAAACTTCTAGTCGACAGATATCTTCTACTAGCAAATTCAAGGTCTCACAACCACAAAGCAGTACTGAACGAACGCTAGCGCAGTATACACTACCTTTCAGCTTTAGTGAAACGTCGCGTCTACGCCAAAGGTGTTTCAGTCCTGCATACGCTGCTCGAGCCTTGGAAATGCGGACGGTTATATGCTTCGCTGCGCTACCGTCATTGGTCACGCAACTACCTAAGTAGGGAAAGCAATCAACCGTAACTAATTCCTGATCATTTAGTTTCAGTGCTACTTAATCATAAGAAATCCAATGACTCGGATGGGCTCCCGTTTCACATCCACAAGCCACCCTTTCTGCGGAATGCATTGCTCGTCTAATCTGATCCCATCGTTTATCTAAACTACCACCCCGTGGCGCATTTAGCTCTTGACCTAGATCTGATTCAAAACGGGCATGAACGGCTGAATCAGATAAGCGATGACCTGCCAATCGAGTTTGGTGGGATTTTCTACCATTCTTCTTGTGCGTCAGAGCTACAACTGGTCGGTGCATACGCTAAAACGATGAACAAACACCTTTTGGTGTTGCTTCTTTTCCGGACGTTGATAGACCGTTGGAGCCGCATCGTATATAAACAACTGTTGATGGGGATTCAATCGATAAATACAGCTTCGGCTGTATTATTCGGTACAATGCCCACGCTATACTGGCTTACTGAATGGGCTTCGTCATAACCTGACTTGCGGAGGAAGTACCTCGAAGACAACTCCGGTGCGGTCAAGTGGCTTGCAGTAATAGGATCCTGAATTCCTGTCTCCGATACGCAGCAAACATCAATACCAAGAAGTTCATTGTATGTGCCAGACACGCCTGTTGAACTACTTGCATCAGCATCCTCACATGGAAGACCCCCAGATTCAGTGATTGACGAGGCTTCAGAATCTTAGTGGTAAATTACCTATAGCGCTACTTGGCAACGAACTTTGACGAGTGACAAACAAGTTGTCGAGGGAATAATACGGGTCCGAAGAAGGGGTAAAGTAAGAGGGTTGAATACGGAGGACAAATAGTTGAACAAAGGTTGGGATAACTGGACAGTAGCCCACTTATCACTACCCACCCCGCTCGAAGCAACGGGTAGCGCGCTCCTGATTTTCCTGCGAGACGGCTTTTAATGAGACGTGAATTTAACGTAAGTCTACTCAAAGACTGCGAGATCTGGTGGACTAAACGAGCGTCAGAGATGGAACGTGCTGCCGCCATGGGAAATACCCGTAAGCTGTTCCATCTCATCTGAATCACCGGTAGGAAAACTTTAGATGTAAGCGAAACAATCTATGAGGCTGATGGCTCGCTTATTCACAATCAACAGCGACGTCTTGCACGATGGACGGAGCACTTCAAAGCACAGTTTAGCTGACCACCAGCGTCAGCTTCTCACACAGCTATTCTGGCACAAGTCCCACGGTCTGCATCAACAGACCCACCCTCTGAGGCCGAAATCCTTAAGGAAATCCTAGCCTTGGGACGTCACAAGCGCCGGGCTCCGACGGCCTTTCCCCAGCCCTATTTAAAGATAGTGGAATAAAGCTTGTTAAAGAACTGAAAGTTCTGTCCTCTAAAGTGTGGAACACTGAGCAAGTCTCCTCGTGGAGGAAATCGATTGTTGTCCCCATCTTCAAAAAGGGCCCGCGCAATGGCTGCGCTAATCATGGGGGTATAAGCCTGATCCCAATAGCGTCAAAGCTGTTGGCGCCGATCATTCTTCGTACATTGTAAAATACGCGTAACGAACATGCCCGTGAGAAGTAGGCTGAGTTTCGTGCCGGTCGTGGATGCATTGATCAAATCTTCACCCTCCGACAGCTGCTAGAGCACCGCCATGCCNTCATTGTGTTCTTAGACATTTGCGCGGCCCTCGATTCTTTTGAAAGGAACGCACTATGGAGCTGTTTGTTGAGGAATGGAGTACCAGAGAAGCATGTGTCGATCCTCAAAGAGTTGTATCGTGATACCTCAGGTCGGGTCAGGGCCTATGGCCAGTTTTCACCGCCCTTCGCCATCTCGTGGGTTTCAACAAGGCTGCCCTATATCCTCCTTCCTGTTCAACATCGCCATAGAAGATGCTCTGCAGGGCACTTTGTTTGGTTTAGCAAACGGTGGAGTCGAACTGCTCCCAGGGAACAGAGTTCTTGACTTGGAATATACCGATGACATTACCTTGGGTGACAATGCACAGACAGTCCAACAAGCTTGACACCACTGGGCGATAAAGGTATCCAGGTGTGGTATGTGCTTTGCACCATCAAAGTGCAAAGTGCTGGTTTAAGACTGGCAGGAGTCTGTGTCTGCATTCACCCTCCGTGATGATCAGCTAGAAGTAGTTGAAAATTTTAAGTACCTCGGGAGCTTGATTGCAGCTGTTGGTGGTGTTGGGGACGAGATCACATCACGAATAGCGAAAGATAGAATAGCTTTCGCCACTCTACGACACCTGTGGCGCCGCCATGACATCCGACTCTCCCTTAAGGGAAGGATGTACATCGCCGCAGTCTGTAGTGTTCTGCTTACGGTTGCGAGAACTGGCCTCCGAGCGGAGGATGCTAATTGACTTTCTGTATTTGACCACCAATGTCTGCGAAGCATTGCTCGTGTCTGGTGAGAACACCGCGTGAGTAATGACGAAATCTGTCGTCGTGTGTTGGGTGTGGATAGTCGTTCTCTAACAGAAGTAATCGGTCTACACCGCCTCCGATAGCTTGGTCACGTATTGCGTATGCCTGCCCATCGACTACCTCGCCGTGCTCTCTTTGCACTTGCCGGGTAGGGCTGGAAGAAGCGACGCAGCGGTCAGACCATGATATGGACGAGAGGCATGAGGTTGCTGGCTTCGGTTGGTGCAGCCCGCCTTCTAGTTTGGGGCCCAAGGGATGAGGATTGTCGTTGGTTAGAGACGCTGAGAGATATGGCCCGGAATAGAAGTCATTGGCGCGAATGCTATACGGTCTGCCTGTCGAAATCCCATGCCCCGTAAAAAAAGCAAAAAACAAACAACCAAAAATTTCAAAAGTTTATGATGAAACACCCAAGAAATTGTTATTTCACTTATTTGTTATCTCCTATTCTGATAGCTACATTTTCCCCATACTCTGTACCCCAACCCAACCCAACCCCTCGTTATTGTTATTGTTACTAATATGGCGTTGGCACCAAGCTTGATCTCAAGCCGGTGTTATATATATATATATATGTATATTTATATATTGGACTAGCAATGCTAAGGTCAGGTGTAGAGTCTTAGGCAGTTGCGGTCGTTCACTGGAGCAAGTGCTCGACCTCCATAGATTACGTTGGTTGGAGCATGTGTTACGCATGTCACCAAATAGTTTGCCACGGCGAGCGGTGTTTGTCGAGGCAGGCAGCAGATTGAAAGAGGTCAAGGACTGTCAAACCAAGATCTGACGTGAGAATATGAAAACTCTGACCAGGAGTCGCATGGGTCCTGTTAGGCTCCCTAGATGGGGATCCCCAGATCACGGTAACCGGGGGTTAGAGACACTGGGTGATGTGGCTGAGTGTCGCAAACAGTAGTGTTCGTACATCTACTCAATATTCTCGTATCCACAGTCCATATGAATTCACTATCTTCTCTCTGACTCAACATTCCAATCTTCATTCTCTTTTATCCCAATGGGCGACCAAAAGACAGCTAACAAAACGCGCATAAAAATACATGATTGATAGTTGTAAAAACCGAGAATGAACTGCCAAGCTCGACGAACAGGTAAATCATTTATCACTTTTACACATTTCTTATCCCTTGGTTAATGGGGCTTATGGGGTTTGTCCGTCACTTTTATGGCAGTAGGTGATCAGCACTTTTCTCTTAAGCACGTTCCGATTTTCGTATACTTCAGTGACATAAATCTTTTTAGTTTCTTTCAATGAGAATGTACTAAATTGGTATTCAAGTTGTGTTTTATATCATAGTTTGTTGAGGAATTGCTGATCTCAGATATTTTTTCTTTGGATTTCTTTTCCAATATTTTTTAGTTTCGTCAATTTGGTAAATAAAGCAAAACTGCAGACAAGTAGTAACAACTAATTATGGTTATTCAGAACTTTCATTATTTGCTTCTGGTGGTTTCAGGTTTACAAGGCTGGTGTAAATCCAAACTTCCCAAATGGCGGGAAAATGTCTCAGTTCGTAATGAATATTCCGATCGAACAATTTATTGATGTACGCGGCCCAGGTGGGAATTTACACTACAAAGGTCGCGGTAAGTGATCTTTTAGTCTTGCATGCCCTCCGTTTTTTCTACCAATCTTCTTGAAAATCGCATTGTTAAGACCACCAGATGGATGTTGACTATAAGAAATCACTTTCCGTCTCGGAATACACTCACTCTTTTCCTGTAGGAATTGGAATTATTTCTGGATATAATTCTGACCTCTTTCGAGGATGGCCACGTTGATATACTCCCAGTTGACAATTTATTGGACCTCAGCTATACAGAGGTCATACTGTTGAATAAATATCTAGATAGGTTATAAATTTTTCTGGATGGTTTGGACCTGGTATATGCCATTCATTTTGTACATCTAAAGTGTAAAATGCTGTTACATGATATAAACTTACATGAGTTAGTTAACCCAGCTTTTAATCTTACTTTAAATGGGGAGGCAATGAGAAAGTGGACATATTTTGCCACCTGGAAAATCGAATCTCGGTTCAGGTGTCGGTACGCTCACAGAAGGCTCAATTATCTTTTTCCAGCTTAAAACACAACTTAAAACGCATATCCGACTGTCCGCGAAGGGTGAATTGTTTGCTGCACTATTTCGACTGTCGGTGTTCAAGCACCACCTACGCCGCATTGCATGAATTTATAAAGTAAAGGAAGAAACAATTCAAAGGTTAGGTGAAGATTATCGAAAGGCCGCTATTAAGCACTAACACAAATGGCTGATCTCCATTGGTTGTAATTTATGGGAATATCCATTACACACGTCTTTGTTTAGGCTCCCTCGATATACGATGTCTATCAGTGCAATGGATAGATCAAGATTAAGGGTGGTCAAACTAAGGTCTGGTGTCAAGAAAGTTCCTAATCGCTTTTCCAGTTCCCCGTTGTCCTGGACTATAACGGGGTCGGAAAATCACTCACAGTTCATCTGGAGGATTTGGCTGAAAACCTTTATTCAAACCAGTCAGGAAAAGGAGTATGAACCACACTCCACACCTTGGTTGTGGCAGTGGCTACCGGCTAGATGGGACATCGAGGCTTATTGGGCACTTTTGACGTTTGACGCCGTCCAGAGAGTGTATGCTCCACTGAAATGGCACCAGCCCCCCAATGGAATTCGGTTTTTGTGCACCGCCGGCTGCTCCGCGGATCAGGCTTTGGCTAGTCCAAGGTCCCAGTTGTGAACTTTTCGAGAAAATTCACCTGCATTTACCTTTGCCTAGGACACCTAGCAGCATCGCACTCACGAGCAAATCATGAGATTTTTTATATCTTTAAGGATTATTGTTCCATGATTTGTTTGGCACAAAGCCTTACTTCAACTGTTTGTGAGACGCACTATAACCCTAGATGTTTGCAGTTTTGCTTCAATAAAACCAATCTTACCTCGAGTTAGAACAAAGGACCTAAATAGCAGATAGTTGGACAGCTATTCCACGGCAGTATTTTCAAGGTTATGAACAAACATTCGCCCATCTTCGGAGAAAATGGGGCCTATTCTGAACTAAAATTTATGACTTATCGTAACTTCCTTCGCTAGAAGAGCTTGGGTCAGCAACGAGGAGGATAATACCAAGTGAAATCAGATAAATGTAAACAGTTTCGGTTCCAGTAACAAAACCTTTTGCAGAATTATTTTTTCTATCTTGACTTGACTTGAACCTGATCACAATGTCGTCTCTAGAACTCCTTTTCGTCATTTCAAATCGACCAAATTTTCTATCCATGATTATACATGTATCTCTCCGTTGCAGGCGTATTCGATATTAAACCGGATGCTGCCAGTCCGCCAAACGAGTATAAAGCCACATATGTTAGCATGATCTGCGGTGGTTCCGGTATCACTCCCATGTTCCAACTCCTCACACACATTTTGCACGATAAAAAAGATTGCACTAAGCTGGCTCTGCTCTATGCAAATAACGTAAGTTTTCACAGGCACCATGCGGTCGCTTTTGTGCTTGCATTCTTGTTACCGAATTTTTTTATTCACTAATGCGGTTTGATGTTGCCAACCTTCTCCCACCTTCGGTTTGACTTAATTTCGGTTTGGTTTACACAAATAGACTTTCTCTCTCGGTGACTAATTTTCCAAATAAAGAAAGTATTTCAAGTGGTCAAAACGTCTGAGGATTATTCCGGTGTTTCAGGTTCCGGGGAGTTCCAAAGCCTTAAGAGAAAAGATAAAAAATATAACTTGGAATGGAGTATTGAATGGGAGATGTGTATCAGTTAAACAAAGTTCCTCGTTCTTTCTGCTTTGTGATGTTTCATTAGTTTTAAAGATGGAATCTAAACAGGAGCGTAAACACTCTAATCCTGGAGTCTGAAAGTAGGGGCTTTTAGATATGAAACATATAGTACGCCTAATTCTCGAGGAAAGTAGACCGACGCATGAACACTCTTGTTTGTTGCACTCATTCCTGCCACCTAATGTCGTCAACCATCAATGACACTTCCCAAAGACCCCAGCCGGACCACATAACACAACCTACATCACCAAGTCCGTTTGTGAGAGATTTCATACATATGCGCCAATTCATAACGCACTAGCTGTTGACCTTCCTCCAATCAATACTTAACTCCGAACACTGTATGCTTGAATTCCAATTTCGCTGATATGGACATTTTTTAATTCGTCCAATTCATTAAATCGTATATCAGAGAATGTTTTTTCAGATGTCCTTATGCGGTATTTGAGGACAGTTGGCAATTGATCTAAGTACCTGTCGTTGACACCGATCTTGAGTTTGAATCTGTCCTCCATCCTACTTTAGGACGATCACCTTACAATACGACACTTTTGTATTGGTTCACCTTTCCAAAGTCCAAGTTGCGGAGTGCACTCTGCACATGGTAACTTCGGTATTTTCGCCGTGTTTGTTGCGTCCAATAATTTTTGATGTATTTCACACGTGTTTGAGTTCATACTGTGTGCCAAACAAATCACTACGATAATTTGGATAACAGAAGAAGGAATTCATTATTTACTGGTGGGTGTTTGCCCAACCCAAAGCGATTTATATATATATATATATATATATATATATATATATATATATATATCTTTATCGCTTGACCCGTTAGTGGGGCGGTGTGTAAAAGCCGTAACTCATTGGGAACCGGAGTCTGGTTCATCGGATGACACCATTTTCCCCAAGGATTGAACGTCCAAGGTGCTCAATACACCTCGATGTCTAATCGAGTTGGTGACCACTGTCAGAAACAGGAAGGTGTCGGTGTGGTTGGTACACTTCTTGGTTGGTTTTGAATCAGGGATTTGAGCCAAAGCCTCTGATGAACTGTTAGTGACTCAACTACCCGGTTGAAGCCCACATATGTTAACTTTCCGTGCTCTCATTTTGTTCGGGACTCATCGCCACATGAAGGCAGTGTATACGGCTTTCTGAGCACTGGCTTACCAGTCTTTAAATAATTGGAAAATGCGTTATCTGTGTCATGAATTTTAAATGGAGTTCACATTACAGCGGTCACCGCGACATATAAGCAAATTGCTGCTGTTTTAATTATGACATGTTTAATTGTTACTCGGGCTGCTAAGTAACAGGTTTCTTTAATCTGTCTCCCTTTTTCAATAACGCCTTTTTGAGTGATTTTTTAAAATTTAACACGGTGCTTTATTGTAAAGAGAATGGAAAGTCCTATTGTTGTCAAAACCATTCAAAACACCTCCCGCAGGATACTATTCACCACTCCTAATGTCATATATACCGTTATATAGTCATATAAGGAGTAAACGGATCGTTAACTGGAAAGCTGTGAAGCACTCGACAGCTGTTTCGACGTGGTTGGGTCTGATGAGCAGCGCGAATCCATTGACTCAACTAGGGATGGAACATGGGATTTCACAAGTAGAACACAAGCATGCTACCCACTTGACCACCGGGCAGATGATCAAACCGTTTTTCATTTTTCTTATACATATACTATATAGCACAACCCATCTTTGCAAGCTAGTTGTGGGCCTCAAAGCTAGCCCATCTCAGCACTAGTTTATAGGGTTATGACTCCGTTGGAAACATTGCACTCTCAACTGTTTTTTACATGATATACATATACATCTTGCGCTTTGGTTACTTTCGTCCGTTACAAAATAGCGCATCTCTAATCTGTAGGTGTAGGCGGCATACTTCACTTCATTGATTTTTTGATTGTTTTAGTGTCTATCGATCCCCGGAGCTACCCACAGAGCGCAGCTTGCCGAGTTTCAACTAAATGGTGGCGAAAAACTAATCACTAATTGCACCAGTGCTTTCACACTGGGCCTTGTTTCCCCACTTCACGGCCCTGATACTTGCATGTATATACCGATCATTCTGATCCATTCAGTTATCGCGGTACCCAAAACAATTCATGACGAAGATCTGATAGTTATGAATTTTGATTTAATCTCTGACGTTGCGGAAGAACCGTAGAGCAAATAGAAAAGTGGAAACAAATCGATCATGTATTGTATCACTTCGAAACCCCAAAGCATTCAGGAAATCCGCATAAATGGTGCTCTTATGTCTGCCCTGGGGTTGATAGCGCTTGCTTTTAAATGTTCACTGATAAAAGTGGTATTTCGAAATTGTCCAGTTGATGATGTTTGGTAGCCTTGTTACTCACACTCATGAGTGCAGGACAATTCTTTTATGGGAGCCACATATAGAACATCAGTATTCGGGTCTTCGGCTGTGCATACTTGCACAGTACATAGATTTCTCTGAGCTGACGTCCTTCTTATATGACTCATTCACTTTTTCTGAATTGCTTCCTTACTGTACCCAGTCGGGAGCATTGGTAAACAATGATTCCTATTCAGTAGTATACATATGTATATATATATATATATCACACCGGCTTGAGAACAACCATGATACCAAGCAAAACAATGATAATGATGTTAGAAAGGGGTACAGAAAGATGAAATGAAAATGGGGAGACGAAAATCAGGGAGAACCAATGAATAAAAGTAGTAGTATTCTTAGGATCAGAAGAGACTGTTTATCGAGTTGTTTCATCCAGCTAGGTTCTTAGTGTGTCACTCCATGCCCCCCGTAGCAGAGTCATTAGGTGTTCACTTCATTCTGCTTTCGTACGGTTTGCTTTCATTTTGAGTGCTTTTGTTTCGTCAAGTCTAAAAATTAGTATTTCATTCACCCGTTCATTATCCACTCTATGGTTCGAGTTTTACCAAACACTTCTTTTCTGTTACATTCCAGACGGAGGGTGATATTCTACTCCGCGATGAACTAGAAGACCTTAAGGATAAGTTTCCAGATCAGTTTAAATTGTGGTACACAGTGACAGAAGCACCACCTCGTAAGTTTTGTTTTTGTACTTGGTTTGTTTTACGCAACTTTGCCAATCAAGGAGTTTTTCTGCTGGAGTACATGAAAACCATCGGTATTCTTTTTGGATCATCATAGGTCTTCCTGATGTATTTGATTATACTAAGACTTTATTCCAACCAAACAATTAGGTTTTTCCCAAAAGAACTGGTAATTTCATGTCAAACTCCATTGCTCTGTCATATCCGTTTGGATAGGAAGGGGCGTTTTTGAAAGCCACTTTTATTTTCAAACAAAAGAAACCCTTGAAGTTCTGGCGGAGTAGGTATCTCGCGCCTTCCAGATTGGTTCCGAATGACTCGTCAATAGGTTGTTTGGAGATATTGAAAGATATGACAACGAACCGACAGGAGTGGCGTTGTCATTCCTTATCAGGCTAGAATGCTTGAAACTTTATGTATGCACAGTTAAATCATGTACTATGTGCGTTAACCAAAGAGGTTCAATTTCTTCTCCATTCCTCAAAATAGGTTTAATCACTGTCCACCTAACATATTACCACTAACTTTGTATGCGTTGCGAGTTTGGCAGCGACCAGTGAAGTTCGCTTCACTGTATCTCACTGTACGATGATGATGGTGATATGAAGTTCCAAAGACGTCATCAGATGCGTTAGAATCCGGCTGTTTTTTTTTGCAACAGCCCAGCCTGTTTGATCACTCTGTGCATCGATGGATTCAGTGTGCCTCACTTCATTCGGCAGTGCACTAATCGATTGGTTCCACATTCGGTTTATCGGTTCTAATCATACACGCATACGGGATGCTTAGATTGTCGGTTTCACTAACCAAAGGAATTTTCCTCTGATTCACACAGAAAGTCTACTGCATGTTTATGATCAATAGAGCGTCCCTAAGCCATGGATACGCTAACGGTCATGTAGGTAGTTGACCAGATGTGGGCGTACTATCAGCCTTGCTTTCAGTGAATGTGGGGCCTGGCAAGCAGGCTCTCTGCAATAGAAGGACGACATTGTCCTCAGAAGGTATAGTATTACACGCGAATCTGACCGATGACTCAATAAAATCATACTCATACTGCGGAGTACTTAGCTGTGTACGGACTAGAAGTTAGTTTCCGCAAAAAAAGATCAGTAATACGGATTTTTTTGAATTCACTGTTTGCGAGGCTAATGTATTCTCGTGTATCGTGCTGCGGTGGTTGTCGGCCCTGATATCTCCCTACATATTAACATATCTCTTCTAATTAGTCTTATGTTGTTCAACTCCCAAATATTATGAATCATCAAAGAACGCAATCATCCACACTCTCATTCGCTCTACTCACTCCTTGTCGAGAGAGCTTACGGTATGCGAGAGATAGCTCCTGAATTTTTCCGGCTAGAGCTACCATCTGATTCGATGGTAATGAGGAAAGCCCCTTCAATTAACAGTGATTTACGGATCCCTGGGCTGCAGCTACACCTACCGAATGGCCAGTCAGCTCCCATAGAGCCACCGGCCACCGTGTATCATCACACTTTTGCCTTACAGTCTTCACTTGTCAGTGCAGTGCTAGAGAGGTGGCCCCAAAAAATAACAGTAATGCTGGGAGTCTCTCAGACCATACTTCCATGAAACTATATTATCGTGATGCCTACACCGTTATCTATACTGCGGCTCCCCGGGAAAGAGATGCATCCTTCGCTCCTCCAGTGGGCTGGGGTCAAAAGATTGCGAACCAGAGCCCTTCAACTCAAAAAGCCCTTCTATGTACGCTGCTGGGACGTGAGAACTCTTTTGGATATCTTAAGCTAGACTATGACTAGGCACATTGTATGACCTATCAAGACGAGACTGCATCTTGGCGTGGTGTGATGGGTTGTGCACCTCTATGACCCAACGAGTTACACAGGGTGGCTTTTACCCAGCCAAAGATCTAATCATGCCTGGAAGGTCAATGGGTAGAGGTCAGACGAAGTCCAGTCTCCTGGTCTTCCAGGTTGGAGGTTCGACTAGAATTTGCATTTCATTCGGTAAAAAATAGTGGAGTAATTGATCCAAGTAAATGGGCATCCACTTCTCTTCACCCACTGCCTTGCGACTGGGTTCTTGTCAAAACTAAAGGCTTTGGTTGAGCACCCTAATCGTTCTCCTGCTTAGTGGCTGGACACCCAAGCAGTACCCGTTCATAAAGCTCCAATGAAGACAAACAAAAAATAATTTCATATTGCATCGGTCGTCGCGCAGGATAATCAGGACCGCGCTGCCCATTGCATCGAGCGGGGTGGGTAGTGGGCTACTGCTCAGATATCCCAACCTTTGTTTAACTCTTTGTCTTCCATACTCAACCCTATCCCTTTACCCCTTTTTCCGACCAGTAATTTTCCCTCAGACAACTTGGT